AAGAATGTGGCTGATGCTTTGAGAAAATAAGGTTTTAGATATTTTTATTCACTTGAACAGAATAATTCTACTTGTTGAATTTAGTCATAACCTAAAGGGACAACCATTCATGTTAGACAGGTGGTATTGCAATTATGATAATCACTGAGAAATGTATAGATATGAACACAATGATGAAGAAGCCTTTAAGCTACTAAAATGTAGTTTTAATAATAGTAAGTGCCATATCATTCTGGTGCTTGCCAGGAAATTAACCAGTTTTTAATGATCTTTCTTATTCTGTTTTAATCTTTTGAAGCCATAACCCATGGTAGAGGTTAAAAATACAAAATAAACAAAAGTAAAGGCAAAGAGCTGGCAAAATTCAAGGTGCAAACAAGGAACTATTTGCAAATCTGATCTCTGGGTCATGTAGAAATCCAAGGAAAAAATATGAATGCAGAATTGCTTCATTTTCTTACCTTTGCTCTGTGTTAAAGAGGGCAAATATGTGTTTGCTAGACATAAAGCTCTTTTCTACATCGCGAACTTTGAGGTTGTCCAAGGGAAGCATGTACTTCTTTTCTTTTTCCTATTATAAGACAGAGAGAAAAGAATTTAAGATATTGAGTCATGCCCATGGTACCATGTTACAGGAGTCATATAACACTTGATTATACTATCTTAATACAAATAAACATTATTTTGATACCAGCTACCAATGGGAATAAAAGTTATCTGATACAGGAACTCCAGTGATTCTCAATATATGAGTTGGAAAAATTGTGGGTGGGAGAGGGAAATATACAGGAAGGGCTCAGAGATGGAGAAAACACATGGTCCTCTATCCTTTCCCCCTCATGTGGGTCCCCTTAGATGTTTTTAAATGTTAGTCTGATATTAAGAATTTAGCCATCTGTTAATATTTAACAAAAATGTTCTGGTTCTAATTCAATGAGAAATGCCAGATGGCTTGCATTTCATGTTTTATTTGCAGCCTAAGCAGTTTTGATAGCCAGTGTTGGCAGGGGGGTGGAGGTACAGGGACCCCAGGATAAAGGGCCCCCCCATAGACTGTGATAAAACAGAAAATATTGCCCTTGTTTAGGTTGAGAACAAAATAAGTCGAGAAAAATTATCAATCCATAAATTTCACAGAATTATTGAGCTCTTTGGGGGAACAAAGAGCCCACAAGAAGTATACCAGTATTAGCTAGAACAAGTGCTCTTTTAAAATTAACAATTCTTCAGGTTGAATATGGACATTGTAAGGGTAAGGTCTGCAGATGGGACCAAAATGACATTAGTAGAAATTACTGAATGCCGTATAATCACTGGGAACACTGACTTCTAGGAACTGGCCCAGACACAATAGCATCATATGTACAAATGCCTAACAATCAGTGTAACAGGAGCAAGCCAAATATTCTGCTTAATAAGCCTAGTAAATATCTACTACCAGGGACATGCTAGCAAAGTACTTATGAAACGGCGATCCTCTATATAAAAAAGAGCAGTATCAGAGGAGAGCAAATACAGCTGTAACACTAAGTTACGATCGATGCCTATGAGAAGTATGTGCATTGTGCAAATGTTTAGCATGAGCTTTGTAGGTCCTATGGCATAGAGTCCAGCTCCATGATAATTTGTGAGAAAGGCTCAGTAGTATGGAGTAGAATACTTGTATGTTCCCAAGCCAGATGTGTAGGTACTATTTGTACTGCAGGGAATACAACTGGGCTTGTGATTTCTTACTCCTAAATTAGACAGGGAAAAGTCAGGCAGAGCACATTAGCAAAAAGGTGGAACTCTACAAAAAATAAGGTGCAGTAAAGCAGGTAACTTTCTTCCAGTTGGAGAAAGCTATCTGGAGAACAAAATGGCCAAGCTGGCAGACGTCCTAAGGAGGAAGAAAGGTGGCAAAGGGAAAACGTGAAAAAGCAAAACACTATAAGAAGATTCCAAAATTTCCTGCAAAATGTCCATAACTTATTCATAAATGCATTCTAACTAGCAAACTGTATAATTTAAATAAATGAGGGATCGGAGTTGAGTCCAATTTACTTAAAAACATTTACTTCTCAAACTATTTTAGGATGCAATGCTAAGAGGCCAGAGCCTAGATTGAATGAAAACCTGTCCAATACATAATCAAATGAAAATGTTTGCGACCCAAGGAACATTTTTTTATTGGCAACCTTTCAATGCCCTAAATTTAAGCAGCTGGGGTTTTTTAATGCACCATCCTATTCAACTTTTTGAAATGAAGGATTCGCCTTTTAATGGGAAGTCTGCATTTCATTGTAAAGATGGAACACAACGTTCTTGGCTTATTTTCTATAGAAGTAGACTTCCTTTTGTACTGCATTCTTCAGCATCGACTGAAGACTGAGTCCAGAAAGTTCACATCAGATATTAAGCACTGGAGAGAGATGTACGTATGCAGACGGAGGAATGTGAAAAGGCCAGTGCCCATTTCCCCACCACTCAGTGCCACTTATCCAAAGCTGTTGAGGACAGACTGCTGAATTATTTCACAATCCCAAGATTTTTATGACTGATTAAGAAAGAAGAAAAAAGTATTCAGGCTGATTTGTTTAATTACAGTTGTAAGTCAAAGAATTCAACGAAGAAGCAGCAACTCCTACCAATAAAATAATATATCATGGCTATTTTTTAAAAACATGGTGGTTTTTTTTTCCCCCCCGCTCCTTGAATGCCTTCAGGGCACTTTGGCATGGCTGGAGTGTTGTGGGGATCGAACTACAGCAAACTGAGGCTGCCAGCATTGTGGAAGCAGCCACTTAAAGAACTGAGCTAGGGCTGGGCCCCCAACATGGTGGTTTTGAAAAAGAATGATGTCCTAGAGAAAAAAAAAAACAACTTGAATCTGACCTAGCCAAAATTTTAAAAGGAGAAGAGCAGAAGAAACATATAAAGAATTATAATTTCCAAAATCCAGTCAGTCTTAGCATTAGTCAAGAAATTTAGGGCCAAGGAGATAGCTCAGTAGAATATGCGCCTGCGTAGCAAGGGCAGGGTCCTGTATTCAATCCCTGGTACCACAAAAAAAAAAAAAAAGAAGAAAGAAAGAAAGAAAGAAAGAAAGAAAGAAAGAAAGAAAGAAAGAAAGAAAGAAAGAAAGAAAGAAAATAAAGAAAGAAATTGACTAAATAGTTTTTTATCAGTCTATTAAGTAGTGAAGGAATGTGTTGTCCAGTATGTTAGCTACCATTCACACAGCTCCTGGGCACATGAAATTTTGTAGCTAAAAAGATTTTGAATATAAAACATGTACCACATTTCAAAGATGTAGCATAAAAACTGAATGTAAGCCATCTCATTAATAATTTTCATATTGATTATATGTTGAAATTTTAACATTTTTAATGTAGCAGGATAAAGTATTGTTAAACATAATTTTAAAATTAATTCTTTTGAAGGTGGTTGCTATTCAATGTTAAATGACATATGTGGCTTATATTAAATTTGTTTTGGCAGTACTGAACTGCACGCACATATCATTTCTTTTCTTCCCATTTAGCCAAGCCACTTGCCCTTCTGCCTTTCCTATGCCTGCTATTGCAGTATCCTTTGTTCTTCCAGCCACCCAGCTAGAACCCAAACCATTTCTGATGGCTGTTCTCCGCCTTCTTTATTGCATCAGGATTATGTTGTGCTGTGTTTGAAGCTTTGTCATACTTCTCATGTTACAATACACTCCCACCACATTATTTCTGGTCCTTGGCACCTCACAATCATGTCAGCATAAGTGAGCTCCCATTTAGTCTCTTTGCCTTCTAATTTCGATAACATCACCAAGGAGGACAATTTTTAAAACACAATTTTGTCAGATTCATCATAGTCCTTCAGAATGTTCAGGAGCTTCCCATTATTCATGGAAGAAAATCTACTAAATTTCTTAATGTGACATTTAGAAACACCCACAAAATAGTCCAATCTTGATTTTCTTAATATCTTCCTCTCTTCATAAGATGCTTCCATTCTACCAAATTCACCTTTGCCAACATTCTTTGTCCAACTTGAGTAAGTCCCTCAGCTTCTCCTACCACAACATTTCCTGGAGCCCAGAAAAAGTTCTATTTTCTATGCAAAAGGTTTTCTTAAACTTAAAACTGTCTGTATCCACTCCCATCTCTCTTCTTTCAACTTATACAATAGGCTTTACTTATTTTATACATTTTAATCTAGTTTGTTTTATTGAAGATGGCCTCATCTTATAAGTGAATTCACATTCAAAGATTTGTGTCAAAGTTATTGAGCTGGGACTCGGTATGCTCAGTCTATTGTTCAAGAAGGTTATTCATAAAAAATTGACAATATCTTTGCAATAAACAATACAAAATAATATATTTACATAATTTGACTAGATATTTTGGAGAAATAATATTAAAATTTACAGAACTATTTTTAAAATGGAGATTCAAAAAGGAGCTTCTACAGATTTTGAAGGCCTCAAGGCCTAATGTCACTGATTTGATACTATCCTTTTCTTCATAATTAAACATAACATCTCTTCTTTTCTTAATTAAGGGGGGTCAGTAGAGTGTTTACAGGGGAGACACTGAAGATCACAAAGATTTTTCTTCAAAGAGAAAGGGAACAGAAGAGATCTATTGTTTTTTTATCTGCAGTAATTTACAAGACTTAGAAGAAATAAGAGAAGTAAGATAGAAAAAACAAAAGCAATGTGTGAGAGGGGCCTGAGAGAGGTGTGTTCAAAAGTATAATGAATATTTAAATTATAATATTTATTACTGTAAATGAACCTTTGCAAATAATTCCCCTAAAAAATCTTCTTTGCTTTAAAGACACTTACCCTATCATTCTTGTCACAATCTGATGCAGTTTTAGAAGTTCTCTTTGGTGAGCGTCTCTAGTTGCACTGTCATAGATACCTCCATATCCTGAACCGTTTCAAAACACTTACTTTTCAAGGTCACTGTGACTTTGCGAAAGGGCCAGATGCTTCATGGTGCCAGATTTGGTAAATAAGGTAGATGAGGACACACTGCAGTATTTTACAAGCCTAACTTTCCATTAGTATCTGGCAGCAGGACTCACTGTAGTTTTTATCACACCTCATAAAAACACACACAAGAGGACTTCCAGAACTGCTTCAGAAAATGACAAGCGCACTGGGATCAGTATGTATGAAGTGAAGGGCACATATCCTGAGGGATCAAAAGCAATTGTCTTTTAGTTTGCAATAATTTATTTTTAAATTAACCACATATTATAGACAGCTATGTTAGGTAAAAATATTACAGGCTAGGTACATATTATAGGCTGGGCTCTAAGAGTCTGTGAAGAAGATGAGAAGATGAGAATACATAATAACAGTAGGTGGAGGTGCATTCATTGAAGACAGGAACCTCAAGACAAAGATGGAATTCCTACACATACATACTTCCTCTAGGGATAATAATGATTGATATTATAAATACCGTAAGCATTAATCACCTGGGTGGGGGACAAGGCCCTTGACCCATCCCTTCCAAGAAAGGTTTTTGTTCTTACACACTTGTTATGTGACTTGCTTCCCTATTGGTCAATATAATCTAAGTAATT